CTTTTGTTGATGTCCTACCTAAAAATGACCCGATAGAAGAGGAATGCGTTCCTCAGTGCATGCCTCAGTGTGATCCATTTTGTATTTCACAGCACCGCTACAGCTTGCGATCTTCGAATTCACCAGCAGCCTCATGTCCACAAGCTTGCATGCCAGAATGCTCACAACAATGTGTTGCCACGTTGCAATGTCCAGTGAGCTGTCAACCCGCTTGTCAACCATCATGCCTTCAGAAGCCACCAATCATCAAAATCACCGTAACAGGACAGCAAGTCGGATGTGTCGAGCAGTGTCAGCCAGCGTGCGAACCACAATGTATCATCGCCACGAACAAGGTTTTTTGAGTTTCAGCTTTTTTAGTTTAACGCTTGCCTTCCGCATATTTTGTTTTCAGAACTGTTTAGTTCAGATCAGTTTATCCGAGCACAGGATTTTAAGCTAAACTTCAGACCCCGTCTCAACAACCGCAAATCGTCGTGGCGACGACGACACAAGCACCCCGTACTGCACAGCCACAACAGCAACTTGCCAGTTGCCCACAACTTTGTCAACCACAGTGCACTTCCCAATGTGTTCAGGCAAGTTCATAGCGATGACACGTGGCATAGTAGATGACTACAATACTATCCTAAGCTGGTTCCAGTTCATCCAGATCCTCAAATATTTTGATTTTCCAGCAACAACAATGTCCATGCCAACAAACATGTCAGAACGGTTGTAATCAACATAATCCAGATGCCCGTGTCTGTCAGAATGTCTGTCTGGAAGTATGTGCATCCGAATGTCCACGATCGACACCAGCTGGCGCCCAACCAGCTCAACCAGTTTACCAAACTGTCCAAGCTCCACTCTCCTACGTTCCAGTTGTTCCAGTGGCCACTTCCTCATCTCTACCACAAATTACTATCAACTTTGCCGTTCCAGAATGTATTCCAGTCTGTGAACAAAGTTGTAATGCTCAATGTGTCGAGAAGTTCCCACAAGAACACTGTGGTTCCGTTTGCAACTCCCAATGCCAGACTGCATGTGCCTCTCAACCAGCTGCCACTCAAGTCCAATCCGCTCCAGTTCCATCGTGCCAACCACAATGTCAGCCAGCCTGTGAACCAGTTTGCATTGCTCAACAAGCCCAACCAGTCAAGATTCAAGTCAATCTGGCTACAGCTGCTCCACAGCAAGCAGCCTCCATTCAATGCCAACCAATGTGCGAGCAGAGCTGTGTACAAGAATGTCAGTCGACCACTTTGAACGTCCAAGCTGCCACGTGTCAACCTGCATGCCAAGCCATCTGCCAACAGTCATGTGCTCCATTGAGCACCTCTGCTCCAGTTATGCAAACTATTCCAGTAGTTCCAGTGGCCGCTGCTCCAGTTCAGGCACCATCATCAGCTACCCAGTTGTGTGCTCCAAAATGTATCAGTGATTGCCAAGGACTGTGCAAGAGCAACTCGCCACAATGTATTCAAGGTGAGTAATTCTGTGTTTTCTTTCAAATCAATAATCTACAATTTAGGATGCGACGCTTCCTGCCAACAACTCTGCGGAACCGCTCCAAACCCAGCCGTCCCACTGACAGTCAACTACAACTGTAACCTTCCATGTGACTCTCAATGCACACAGCAGTGCTACCATCAAGGTAATCTATATTTTTTATCAATATCTTTTTTACCCCAATCCGTGTTTCAGCTCCAACATGTGCTCCTGCTTGTGCTCAAGCCTGTGAAGCTCAATGCCCAGTTGTTTCTTGTGAAGATGCCTGCCAAACAGTCTGCAAAGGACAGTGCGTTTTCTCCGGTCAGAATTCCCGACAATGTGGTCCAGCGTGTGCCCAATCGTGCAGCTCCCTGTGCCATAAAAAGAGAGTGAAACGAGGAGACTAATTGATTCTTAATTTTTAATATTTATTTCCCTTTCTCCATAGTCTTTCTAACAATTCGGACCAAAACTCCACCCCCATCTCTTCTGCTCAATTTCTTTTCGTCGTCTTTCTGTGACCTATGTGGGTCTGTCACAATCGCCCTACTTGATTTACTAACTTATTTATTCTTTGTTATTGTAATTTATTTATCTATTGGTTTTCTGAAGACATAAAAATACAAAAATTTATTCAAAGCAATACACATGCATTTTAGTTTCACATATTTTGATTATCCAGAGGGCATCAATAGGTTTGATGGGTGGATGAGCTGACGTCGATCTGGAAAAAACGATGCCCTTATTTTCTAATCATTTTAAACCTACCATAGCAACTTCCAAATCTCCGCTGGCTCCCTTACGGCTCTCCTCATCCGAATCCTCATCCCATGGCTCCTTATCTGGAAGTTGTGATTGTTGAGCCTGACGATCCGCGTCAAAGTTCTTCGCGATTCTTCGATACGAAACGTGCTGTTTTTGAAGCATGAACTGAGATTTGACAGTCTACAAAAAACCATACCGAACTGATCTAGAAAATTTCAACTCACATTTCCACGTTGACGGCATCGGATGTAGTTGATTACCATGAATAATGGGATCATAAGGACTGGGAGGAACGAAACGAACCATCCGAGAATGTCGAAAACAATTGGGTACTTATTGGCATCACCGTTGTATGGATAGTCACGAAGGAAGGAGAGGGCAACAAGGAACAGAAAAAAATGAATAAAGGAAGGATCCACTAAAAAGATTACTTACCGCTGCAATAACTGGAGCAATACCCATCCAGTTGGCCGTAAAATACCACGAATGAGGTCCGATAGCTTTAGTACACTTGTTCTTGGGCTCTCCCAGCATTTCGGTAATGTCATTTCTGACGTTTCGGAATCCATAGACATACATCATGACGATAAGTTCACCAACCACTGCACAAACCGATGAGAATCCAGCCGCGTATTCGTCGAACATTTCGAACCAGTAGAGACCAGCCTATAAAATTGTAAAAGGACGATTTAAGAAAAAATAATCAACTCACATTAGTCGAGAAAACCAATCCAATACAGTATAAAAAGAAACACCAAACCGTGACAACAACCCACTTCTTTTTCCGATACTTCGGGCTCTGATCATAAATACACGAACAGAACACATCGACCAACGCAATCTCAGTACTGGCTCCAAGCAAGAAGAGCATCAAAAAGAAGAGGAAACTCCACAACCAGGGCAGTGGCATCTGTGTCATGGCTTCAGGATACACAACGAATGCCAGAGAGAATCCACTTTTGACAACTTCTGGAACTTGAACTCCACGTTGGTTGGCTAAGAATCCAAGTGTTGAAAATACAGCAGCTCCACCGACAAGGGACATGACAGTGTCTCCAATAATAACGATTAGGGCATCTTTGAAGACGTTGTTGTTTTTTCGACTGTACGAAGACAAACTAATAAGTCCTCCATGTCCAACAGAAAGTGAGAAACAGAGTTGTTTGAGAGCCTCTGTCCAGGTACGAGTCAAGAAGATTTTCGAGTAGTCTGGTTTACCAAAATAGTAATAAAGACCATCAGATGCTCCTGGCAAAGTAACTCCTCTAACGAACAACACCACTACAATAAAGTATGGAAGCAGAACAGAAACATATGAAATCTTTCCCATGATCTTAGCTCCTTTCAAGATTCCCAACGCAGTGAGTACCCAGCAAATAGTCATAGCTGCCAGAATCGGAAGATTGATTCCAGAAAAATCGTAGAGTCCGGTAGATGGGTCAATGATGTTACGTGTGAAGTATTGCTCAGTGGCACTGAGCATTTCAATGCCATCGAATTTTTTGGCATCCATACAAGTTCCATTAATGAAGAACATTTTCTCGGGGATCATTTTCGCGGTAGCATTCTCCCAGCCAGGTGGGTGATTCACTCGACATTCTTTTTGGCTGAAATGTAATTTTTTTTTCTTTATCTAGAAATCTATAAAACCCACCGAAGCATATCAATACAAGTTTCCATTTGATTCCAAGGATTGTCACACTTGTTCCAAATGTTGAAATCTCCTCGGAAGATGTTGACAATATAAATACTGATCCATGACACAATCACAATGTAATAAATCGCAACCAACGCAGCCACAAACACTCCCATCCACCCAACGCCTTCTAGAAATGGCATGACTCTTCTGAAGATTACCGGTGGCGATTTTCCATTGTATTGACCAGTCAGGAATTCGAAATAAACAGCTGGGAATCCGAAGAGAAACGCACATGAGAGATATGGAATCAGAAATGCGGATCCTCCGTTTTCGAATGCTCTCATTGGGAATCTCCAAATGTTTCCTAAACCGACTGCGAGGCCAAGACAGGTTAAAACGAATTCAACTCCATTTCCAAATCCTTCTCGTTCCTCTTCGGGCGGTCCGTCGATTCTTTCGGAAACCAAATCGACTTTGGATCCAGTTGTGGTGTTGGTTGTTGTGTTGAGTTTACTTGGTGTTGGCGATGGAATGGCACTTGTTCCTTCAGTATTCGGAGATGGAGTTTGTTCTGAATGTATAGGTCAGAAGAATAGTCTATCCGAATGTTGGAATCAGTGTGTGTTCTTCGGAAAGTATTTTTCAAAAATCCGTTCGAACGTTCGAAACATGAAAGTTGGTGACCTAGAAAACTCCAGTTGCAAAAGTTAAGCCGCCATGTTAAAATGACCTAGAAGACACATCAGACGCTACAATCAACCAACTAGGGTGGCCTAGAAAAAGCGCGTTGGGAAAGTTCGGTCACTTTGCGAATTTTCCAAATCTCGGGATTTCAAATCTTCTGACAATCTAGATGATTAAAAGTCTCAGGATCTTACGAACTCCAAATCTCTAAAGTAACCTAAAAACCTCACAAACTGAATCTTCATCCCAAAATGTCTGACTTCGCGAATCTCAGAATTCCAAAATCTTACTGAGATCTTCATCATCTTTAACCGATGCCATTTTGTTGGTTGTTTTCTCTTTTTCAGGTTCAGCCAATTACACGTGTCTTCTGGTGGCGAACAGCAGCCCACACTCTCGAGTTGCTACTAGTTTCGAGAAGTGAGCAGTGGAATTTGTGAAAATCGGTCTAACTTTTTTCGGGGAAGTAGCATTGGTGGTTTTTGTGGAATCCACGTTGGCTGGGAAATTTATTTGGGGTAAATAATAAAAAAATTAGAAAAAAAACAACAAAAAAACCAAAAAACAATAAAATCAACAACATAAAAATTGAATACAGGTCTAATCCTCGTCACTCCAATTGGCCAGTGACATATCGGCGAATTGATCCGGAACAGTTGCATCCGCCCTCTTCGCAGCTGCTCCAATCTTGATTCTCTTCCTTTTGGCTTTTGGAATCGTTGGTTTGGCGTCTTCATCGTCGTCGTCTTCCAGCGTCTCTGTGGCTTTTCGTTTCTTCGCCGCTTCTTCCTCTTTCTTTTTCTTCTTATCATCCTTCTTTGAATTCTCGAGTGCACTTTTTTCCTTCATCTTCCACACCTTCTCCCATTGTCTGTAGAATGACTTGATCGGTGAATCAGGGTTGTTGAGATCGAAACGAACGGCACGCTGAAATAGGTCCGAACTATGTCTGGCAACTTTGTCATGGTTGAAACGTACCACTTGCATCTCATCATTCAAATCCACGTGTTTTCGAGCCAACACATCGAGAACAAATCGAGAATGTTCCTTCAACTTGGTTTGGAAACCGCGGAATAGATGAGCTTGATCCGCATTCTTCATCGTATCCAAAATTGTGGCGATCTGAAAAAATCAAAAATTCAGTTAGAGTTCAGAAGACGTTTCAAGATTACTCTGTGGTTGATCGGCAAAGCGACATCAGGGAATGCTGCCTGACTGGCTAGAAGATGAGCTGATTGCATCATGGTCCTGAAGACGTGCTCCGAAATAGTCTTACGCCATTGTGGAAGATCAGAATATTGGGTAGAGCATTTCAGGGTGCATTCGATATCCGGAAGTTTGACAGCACCTTTAGCAGGTTTTGGCTTAGATTTCAGCTCGCGGGCCAGCTCTTCCAGACACTAGAAATTCAAATTTAGGAATGGAGTTGAAACTTCGTAACTCACATCGCAAGACAATTGCATAATAGGAATGTAGTTGGTACAACTTGCTTGAAGTTGAATAAGCATTTGACAACAATGGAGACGTAGTGGCAAGAAGGTTGGAGCATTGCAAAGTCTGAAAGTAATAGAATTTAATGCTGAAAACATGAACGATTTCTCACTTGAAGATTCCTACGATGACTTGAATAAGTGGATAGACGAGCTCTCCGATTTGCTCAGCACCATTTACCGAGTGAGCCTTTGCAATCACTCGAACCCACATGTACATACACTGCATCATTTGCCAGTTGTAAATCGAAAAGATCAAATCCTTTCTACCTTTGGCAATCATAGCGTTTCGAAGATGCACCGCGGTTTGACGGATATAGACGAACGCGTATTTGTATGCTTGTTCGGGATTGATCATAGTAATTTCGGCAAATGTTCGATGCATGAACTGCAGAAGTGGCCAGGTCTCATTGGTAACGACTTTCGAGTTGGCAACAAATGCAACATAGGCAGTTTTATATAGAGGAACGAAGTGTTGTGGGTAGTTTTTGACAAGAAGATTCATGCAGACGAATGCAGGTAGACGGCATTCGAGAGTCTTACGACTCCAGATTTTGACGATGGCCTTGATGAGGAGCTTGGACATTCTTGAGAAATGAGCATAGAGATCAACGAGTCTGGTGATCGCTTTGAGTGTTGCGATGATCACTTCAGTGGTTTGAACTTCGTTAAGGAAGACAATCATAGCATGGAGATAGGTTCTTACATAGGTTTGATACTTTTTGATCATAGTTTTGGAAAAAAGCACTTTCTCGCCATCTGGTCTAGCCTTCAGAAGTCGTTTAAGAACATCTGGCATCGCTTGGAAGCACATTCTGACTACTGCCTCAAAAATCGATTGCTCGTTGATCACATACTTCGGAGCTTCAATATCAGCACCAACTCGGGCCACGCAGGCAACGAATACATCAATCGCCATACGAACATCAGATGGATTGATTGGAGTAGTCGTCTCATCGTCCAGAACAAGAACTTGTTGAAGGTAAGAGTAGACGTTGGAATCCACGATAAGCCGTCCTGAACTATCGCTTTTCACTTTTGGCTTTCGGATCTTCTTGATCTTTGTTTTGTCGTCATCCTCTTCATCGTCATCTTCATCACTTTCCTCCTCTTCTTCTTCATCTTCTTCATCCTCATTGTCTTCTCCCTCTTCATCGTCATCCTCATCCTCTTCCATATTCAAAAGATCAGCATCCTCTTGTTGAAGAAATTTGAAGAATTCTGGATCACTCTTTTTCAGTCTGTAAATAACAAATGAAGAATAGTCTCTAATGAAAACAAGCTTACGCTTCCAAATCCAACTTGTGTTTTTTCATTCCACCTTTCTCAACTTGCACCGTTCCGTCATCCTCTTCCGATTCGTTCCCATCTAAGCTTCCTTCTCCATCCAACTTGGCCAACTCCTCATCTGAAGAAGATGCTTCATCTTTAGATGGAGGTTTCTTTTGGAGTTTGGCGCGTTTCGTCACTCCTTTTTTGAGAGAGCTGGACTTTTTGAGTAGTTTCATTATCCTGAAAAACATAATCTTCAGTATTACTCCAAGTTCAAAGAAGTAAACATTTCAAGTTTACAGTAACTGGAACAAGTCTCTACCCATCTCTATTCATCCCGACCAAGCTTCTTTTCTCTTACTCCAAACTACTCTATTCAGTTTCTTCCTCTTTTTCCTTCCTTTTCCCTCTCAACACCACATTTTGTGACGGTAAGCGACCGGATCGGGGTCACACTGGCTAGAGATAATGGCGTTCCGAGAGAGAAGACTTCGAGACGACGCTCAGTGGGAGGGAATGAAGAAGGAAATCAACTGTAGTATGAATTGTATCATTTGCATATCGGGAATTTTCAAAATGTTCCATTTTTGACTTTATATCGTGACTAGTGTTTCTGTTTTTGGCTATAAAAAGAGTGGAATGACGCAAAATCTTTATATCCCATAGAAAGCGAGAACCGGTTCGACCGTTAAGCTATTGACGGCTTCATCGGAAAAGCATTGCTTCAAGTTGTTTTGCTTTTAGTTAATTTTCACGTTTTCTTAGTTCTGCCCATCCAGACGTTGCCATCTCTTTTCGCAATACACGACGAACGGCAGCCATTCAAAAAATGAATTGGTCAGTGTCATTGTTGTCTCGGCTAATGGGAAGAGATGCAGAAGCCGTCGCCAAACGAGAAAATCTTTCTGCGCGCAGAAAATCGTTTGTGGCCAATCTGCCGGCGTGCGACGACAACACAACCATAGATTACAAACGCTGCTTTCTTTATAGGCTTCTCTATATTTTCTACAGAATTTCTAAATCTTACAAATCACAATAACGACGATTTCTTTCAGGTAAATCACAATGTGGACGCTATCCTACACAACGCACACGATAATCTCAATATCTTTGCATGTGCTGGGAGTGGTTGTGGGACTCTTCGTCTGGTATTTATTCCCAAAACATGTATGTTTTTCTTTCAATTTTTTAAATGGATTCAAAAATACAGTATGAAACCTAACTTCTCTAAATACTGAAAAATGAATTAAAGATATAGATTTTCAGCCGACGCGTTCGATCGTCCAACTCCCATCGGAACGAGTAGCCGTTGCTATCGACACGCCGATCACAACGAAATCCGAAAAACTCAACGTATACTCTCCATCGGAGAACTTCACAAATAATGACGAAAGTGTCGCAAAACTAATCGACTTCGAGGATCATCATATGCCACAAATCTCAGCAATCCGCCAGTTTGGTTAATTAGTGTTATATTTATTTATTTGAATTACGAATAGAGCGCCTAATACGAGTATTTTTTTTTGTTTTGTCATAAATATTTTAAATAACTAATGAATGGATTAAAAATGAACAAATAGTAAAAAAATGAACCGCAGTTGAACGGAGTCTGAAAAAATAATGATGATTCAAGATAGAAAGAGTATAAAATAATTTATTGAATAGGATGAAAATATATAATCTTAAAAATCAGTAGATTATCATTGTGCTCCTTGAGCCATTTGAATCAGCTCACCGAGTCCTGTTGAACGCCAAACAAATTCCACCGGATCCATCACATATACCATTTCCGAATCCATATAAATCGAAAGTGCACCGAACCAGAAAACTTGTCGTCCATCCTTGAATCGATCTTTCTGTGGATGATAAGTGAATCCGTGCTTTCCAGCAGTGATTTCGATGATTTCTTTGAGCGACAGTTGCTGAGTAGCCGGCGCGAATTGAGCCATTGGAGCAGATGGGGCTGGAGCCATCGGAGCAATCGGAGCGGCGGCCAGACCACTGACTTTTTCTCCGCGCATTGAAGTTCCGACAGCGATCATGCAGCGACGGAGATTCTCTGAAAAACGTAATTAGAATCCATGAACAGAATAAAAGCATCTCACCAGTGACAGTAGGGTAATTAAGAATAGCTTGCGGGATTCGATCCTTCCATTCAGCGTACCACCGACGCACTTCATTATAGTCGACACCAGGGCTATCGAGCCATTGACACAGAACGCCGTAGAACTGGAAATAGAAAAATTATTTTCAGAAATCATTTAACTCTGTAACTTACCCTTGGGAAGAAATATTTAGTGACAATGTTTGCTATTGCGTCAGGATGAACCATTTCCAACCATTCCATACAAGCAGACCACTCCAAGTATTCTGGATTGATTCCAGGATTCAATTCGAATGTATCCAATGTAGCACCCAGTTTCGGTATGATGTTTTGAGCCACAAATGCTGTGAATGTCCCTTTGGACCAGACATTCTGCCACGGGCGTAATGTTGCAATCGCACTTCTATCCATCGGATTCCACAGCTTGAGAACTTTTGATAACTTTTGGCGGATCGGTGGCATGACAGTTTGAATTCGATCTCCGAGAAGGACGAGCCATGGTACCAACCATTGGTGTATTGGAACTACATCTGTCATCGGATCCCAATCATTCACTCTTTCTGCAATTTTCGGAATGATCAACTGTTCTAGAATGTTCTCTGTGATCCAGGAGGAAATTAGAGGAATCCATTGCTCCACGAGTTCAATCATCTCATGCATTTCGGTACGTGGATCCCACTGAAGACAAGCACGACGAATTGATGGTAGAATTCCCTCCCAAATGATTCTGTCGTATGCTCGAATTTCATCCCCTTTGCTCTTATTGTGTCCGAATGTCATCTTCTTTCCATTCTTGCTATCATCCAGAATGTCTCTCCATTCTGCAATCAACTCACATCCATATTCCTTTGCCTGAAGTGGCTTCCATTCGGCAAAATGACGTTGGATGAGTGGAAGTACGATAGGAATAGCGACAGTTTCCAGTGAATAAAGTTGATACTCATGTGGGAATTCTGCACGAAGACGACGGAAAAGTGATTGACATTCTTTCATAGTTGGCGAACGGTTAGAAGAGAATCCATCTATCAATTCGAAGACATCCTTGATATGCTGAGCCTCTTCTTCCTCGGTAGTCAACGCTTTGTCGATCGTTTGAAGGTCATATTCCAGAGCAGTGGTTTGATCTTTAATGCTGATCAACTGCTGATTACTTCTTCTAATTCCTTCTTCAGTTAAATCGACAAGAAGATTCAGATTATGCAGCAATTCGGGGACATCAAAAACAGTTCTCTCTTCTTCATCAACAGTATCGTATTCGGATCGAGTTTTCATAGAAAACGAATCATAACCAGAATATACCTTTTGCTGTTTTCCAGTCATATCGATAACTTTGATATTTGAATAGTGTTGTGATTGCTGATGAGCTGCAGGTCGTGACGCCGACATTCCCTCTTCCAGAACATCATCGATAGTTCTATACGTGGTTTTTGTTTTCTGCGACTTCTTCCATCCTCCTTTAACTTTAATTCCAGTCTTCTCCGGTTCATCTGGGACTGTAGAGCTTCCACCTTGCGCCATTCTCTTCTGTGCTTCTGCAGCCGATTCTCCGAATTTTGGTCCAACCGAAGATGCTTCTTTACCATAAGCTCCAACGGCTCCTCTTCCCTTACGGAGCTGCGCAGTCACTGGCTCGACGATACCTTGCTCTTTTGCTCCCAAACCAAATCCTTGCTTGTATCCCATAGACTGCATCATTTTCATGATAACATCCGATTTTCCGTGCTTCATCCAACCACCAAATTTATCAGTGTCTGCTGCTCCTTTTGTAGCTGATGAACGCATTCCAGCGAAGACGTGTGCTCCTTGCTCTTTCTGGGTCTTCTTGGTTCTTCTGTCGAAGTTAATTTCGATAACTTCTTCCTCATCGTCCGCTTTTGACGAATATGTTCCCATTTTGATGGATTCTGGATCTGTCTTATCCACTTTCGAGCCTGATTGCACGCCTCCGCTGACGAAACTCATCGGTGCCGTGTACTTCTGACGCTTGCTGAAAAAACTAACATTAGATTCATGGAGAAACTAGGTGGAATCTTACTTTGAAGGCCCTCGGCTTGAACTCTGCTCATCGTCATCGCTGTCGTGGTCCGGAGCAAAGACACCTAAAAATCAATTATTACTTGAGTCTCCACGGAGAAATCCTAGAGTCAAATGCTTTTTTAATAGTCAGACGATTCTTCCTCATGATCTCACCCCACCATAAGTCGCCTGATCCTTATTCTGATACCGCCGCCTGCCACCCGGATTCATCGCATACTCCAAATCCATGTCGTTAATTTCGAACGATTCGCGCCCATCGTCGTCGTCCATCTGAAAATTGAGAATGAGTAATCACTTGTCAAGGGAGGCGTCCCATTGTTGTGGTTTGAACATTTTTCGTACCAAAAGATCAAAACAAAAAGTGTACTAGCTAAGAGAGAACGCAGAGAAATTTAAGAAGATAAAAGTGGAGGAAATGAATCATTTTTTACACTGTGTGGGCTGTCTCGTGCATTAGATCTCGGATTTTTCTGACGGCATTCAGGTCAGTTAGACACGTGGGTTGATGCCTGACAGACCTGAAGAATTTCTTTGCAATTGCCGAGCTATTGTAACTTTTTTTTACATTTTGAAAACTTCAATTGTTCACAGAAGTTGAAAAGAAATTTACTCATAAATATCTCACTCGGAAAATATAGCTTTTCAAAGTAAAACGGTCGATTTTCGATTCTTAGAATAAATAGTATTTATAAATTTTCGTTCGATTGTGATTTATTATTCCCTATTTGCTAACCGAAAATACACAATAGAGTCAGCATAGATTACTTTAGATCAAAATTCCTAAATCCTCGTCGTCTATAAATGGTTTTAAAATGGATATTTTGTCGCAGATTAGAATTTTTATTGAGCAAATTTTAGGTTTATATTCCTAAACAAAACCTATTCTGAAGACTCACTTTTCAGTTGTTGAAATCAGGGAGAAAACGAAAAAACCTTTGAATTTCGAATAAAAACAAGAAACAACGACACTCCGGAATTGCGCGCGCGCGCATTGTTTAGCAGGTGTGAATTTCGGAGGGAAATTCAAAATCGACCTTTTTCTGTCTTGTTTCTCGTTGAATTCTGAATTTTTTCCTCAAAGACTTTGATTCAAAGTTCCACATTTCCAGATGAAACTTCTTCTTGTGATTCTTCTATTAATCTCGACTGTCGAATCCAACACACCCCGCTTGAAAGCTCTCTGGAATTTAGAAGAAGTTACAGAGTGCGAGTTGCATTATAACGCATTGGTGAGTCTAAACGTTTGAAGCATAAAATATCAAAAAATTTCCAGCACTACAACAACTATGGATGCTGGTGTGGAGTTGGTGGATCCCATGAGCCAGTTGATGGAATTGATGACTGTTGTATGCATCATGACAAGTGCTACGATGCCGCAGTTGATAATAAAGTTTGCATGGATGTAGAGATTGAGTATGTCGACGATTACTCATGGAAGTGCATCAACTCCACTGCTATTTGCTCTGGTAAGCTTACTTTTTTAAAAACTATCTTCAATTCGTTCAACTGTTCAGAAAAGAACGCCGGATGCAAAGCAGCTCTCTGTGAATGCGACAAAATCGTTGTGGAGTGCTGGAAAAAGTTCCCAAAGCCAGTGAAGAAGGAAAAGTGCAACAGAACCCGCTGGTCGGAAATCACCAAGCACTTCCAGCATTAATATGCGATTTTTGTACATAGAATATTGCACTTTTCTTTATTATACAGATTGTTATAATTAAACAATGTTAAATATTGTCTTGAAAGCATTTAATAAAGATGAAAAGTTAATGAAGCTTGTCATAGAAACTGACAACTGGGCGGTGTATTAGAGTAAGCGTTGGCATGTAGGAATCGTAGTGAAGTGTCTGAAAAAAAGGAACTGGTAACTAAATAAGATTTAATTGGAATTTAACCTCTATATTGCATCGATTCCCGAACGAATCAGCGACCTCGACGACATCTTCCATATCTTTTTCATCGACATAAATTGACAAGTGGTTCTCCTGAAGAAAAATAGTGTGTTTAGAACAGATGCCTAGTTTTATACCTTATCCTTAACAGTGTTTTGGCTGATTCTCCTTCTTGCGACAACTGGAGCCTCCTCGTCATTCACCTCAACATGTGTACAATGCTCCACATTGCACTTCTTCTGAGACGGTGTCAGAATTTTCCCAGAACCATCAGATGATTTTCTGGTGTATTGAGTTTTTTCGTTCCTCGTCCCCAGTGGTACTCTCTCATAACACGTTTGAGCAGGGAGAACGTAAACTGGATGTCTTCCGACTTCTGGATACCGATAGAGTGCTTCATCGGGATTCTGAATCGACGACGTGGCCACAGTGACGTAGGTGACGTTCTCTGGCTTCTCGATTTCATCGATTCCAACAATCATTCGTTTCTCGGCGTGCAATTCGGAGAGATGCGTTGGCTCGTCATCGATTGGGATGCTGTAGATAGAGATTATGGTGGAAGATCTACTTCTGACGGGTCTTGGACGGTATACAACTCTAGGGACTTCAGGCTCAAGCACAGTCAAGTGCATTTTCGGAGGCATTTTTCTATAACGACCAGAAACCGTCTGGGTGCCGATAGATTCATATTTTGCCGATGTTTCAGACGGTACTTGGCCATAGACAGCTGGAGATGAAACAGTTCTATAAATAGAGTTAGATGGTCTAGCAGCCAATGGAGTGTTAGCAACTTCCTGTTGACGTTTCGTGATATGAAGCCTAGCTGGCATCCTGGTATAAGAGTTTGGAGAGATAGGATCCAAAGATCTTCTGGAAGAGTTCTCCGACGAGGGAGAATGTTGATCCAGGATGGGGGTGGAAGGACTACGAATCACAAAACGGTCTAGAGGACAAGATGGAATGTCAGAGTGACGGCGGGTTAGATGCAGTTTGGGTAGACTGATCGGGGATCGGTAGGCGGGTGTAATAGTACGAGTGACAGCAGGAGGAATACTAATAGAAGAGGATCTACTGGAACGGGAACTATGAGTTGAGTGAAATTTTGGAGACAGAACTGGAGAGGTTCTGGCTTCCTTCTCCACATAGTTCTCCAGTGGAGTTTTTCGAAGATCCTTCTCATAGTTAGTCTGATGGATTCTCGATGGTGAGGATGTAGTCGTTCCGATGGTCACCTCAGAAGGAATTGGGCTTGCAGATTTGCTCCGAATGTAGTTTTCAAGAGGTGTCTTCCGAAGGTCTTCATCATAACGAGTCAGATTTTCTTTCTGGATTGGTTTCCGAATGTAGTGATCCAGCGGTGTTTTTCTCTCATCTGAATACCGTACACTTATCGGAGGACTAGGCGTAGAACGGACTAATCCACCAACAACAATCGTTTCCGGAGTTCTGGGTCTAGCTACATAGTCATCTAGGGGAATCGGGGAACTTCCGATGCTCTTCTAGTAAGGTAGATCTTTGGAGAAGTCATTGGGGGACTTGGTCTAGGAGAAACTTGAGGAGTTGAAACTGTAGAACTTGAAGGAGTACGATAGATCGGAGTTCGACGGATGGGTTGAGCCACATGATCGTATAATGGAGCTTTCGGAACTTCTGGATACTTACTGGTTAGATACAATGGTGTGGGAGTTATAGAAGAAGATGATTTATGAGGTGGAACTGGAACAACAGTACGAGAGACTGCCGTCGGCGGGTAACTGTATCTATGAACATAACGAGACAAAGGAGAATGGGGAACTTCTGGAACGATTGGAGTTAGATAGAGTTTAGGAGCTGGACTACGAGGCGGAGAGAGTTTTGGAGAAGGAGGTTTACTTTGAATTGGTCTTCTAGCTAGAGGAGTTCTAGGAACCTCATCCTGGAGAAGGGTAACCTGAACGGGAGATTCTCTACGTGGAGGGGAAGGCTGTTTCGAAAATGGAATGATGACATAGTCCGATTCATCGCTCTCCGATGGAGGATAACTGTAGACAGGGTATCTGATAACCTGACTCAGTGGGACTCTCGGGATGTCTCTGGTAAAGTAAAGCTTTTCTAGTTTTCTGGGCTGAATCGAGGATACGTTCTTCCTGGGAATCGTTTTCATTGTGATCTTATCCATAGGCTGGGTTCCTTGATTGACCACTTGTGTCCTTGGTTTGGGAGTCACCACAGGAATCTCTCGGACCACTGGTGGAGGTGGATTGGTTCGGTAGATCGGAGTTTCGTCTCTCGGTTTTGCTATCTCTCGGTTTACTGGAGGTTGATAAATCGAAGAAGTCTTTTTAGACGAAAACGAGTACATAACACTAGCTGGACTTTCGGAACGAGAATCATCAGAAACTACATGAACTGGAATCACACGAGAGACACGAGATTTCGGGACGGTCAGGTTCAATGGGACCCTAGGAACTTCTTGTTGACGAGTGGTAAGATGGATCGGGGTCTTTGGAACTGGAGGAGAGGTTTGGATAGGAATATAACGAACACGACTAGGAGTTGGGGTAATTGAACGAGGGCTTTTCTGAACTGGGACGTCATCACAATGTATCGGACAATGGAGACAACGCAAGCTAGGGCTTCTGGGGACGGTTTCAGAATTTTTAGAAGTGGTAGAAGACGCTCTTGAGTACATTGTGCTCTGAGGAACCTCATCATACTTTGGAAGCTTTGAAGATCGGGAGATTGTATGGTAGCCACTAGGATTTGTCATTATCTCTCTACGGATTTCTGTGCTCTTTGTGTACCTAGTAGGGATCTCGTGATACTTTGGGAGTTGGGAACCCTTGGAATACGTGGAAGATGGTCTACGACTATCGTACTGATTGGAATCATAGAAGTAGGTGGATTTAGGACGAGATGCTGGAAGTGTTTCAGATAGTTTGGGGAGCTCATCATTTCTATGAAGATTGGATGTACTAAAATAGTGAGGACTCATAACTCTAGTCTGTTTTCTAAGAACTACGGGATCTTCATATCTAGGAATTACTCCCTTGGAAATGGTGTAGGTGGTTTTCTTGGTGGTTCTCGTATACTGAGTTTCTCCATCATACCTTGGACTCATTGGTGGAATGTAGCGTGACATTGGGTGTGGATCTACTTCTTGTTGACGTGGCAGTGGCGAAAGTCTTCCGTTGAAGACTGAAGTCCGGTTTGGATAGTCTGGAGTTTCGACTGGGATCTCTCGGTAGTTGGACACAGGGACTTCCTGACGACGAGGAAGTTCCGGGGAAGGATCAGCAGGAACCTGGTCGTATCGAGTGACGGCGGTCGGGATGGAGACCCGACGTCCTTCGTTGATTTCAGCTCTTCGATGCAGTTTGGAATAGGAATCTCGGTCCACGGGACTTGGATGTTTCAGCGAATCGTAGTGATTGAACTCGTCGTAGATGACTGGTGGAGGCGTGTGGTCCTGGCGATAGGCGTCAATGATAGGCTGTAATAGTTTATAGATTGACTCAGAATGATGTCATAGGTCAATACCTCTCGACCTTCGTGCTTCTTGATTCTCAACGTTTCTAGCTCCTCCTCTCTTTTTCGTAGCTGCTCACGACGGATTCTCTCTCGCAGCTCCTCCTCTCGATGATCATAAGGATCCGAGCTATCTGTGGGTGGCTGGAAAAATTAGATGGATGTCAAAAAATTAAGATTTGCCTTACCAATCCATCAGTTTGATGCTCTTTGCTGACTCTTCTGACTCCTCGAACTGTGTTTTTCTCGCCGGTTTCTGGATTCCGAAGGTCATAGGATTGACTGTGTCCCATCTGAAAAATGTAAAGAATGATGTATACAGGCAGAGTGAATTGAAAGTAAGAAGATTCTAGAATGCTCATACTTTGAAACCAACTGAGAAATTTTATAGAATCCAAAAGTTTGCAGATGATTGAGTGTCGTCAAAGATGACACATACACAAACTCTCAATTTTTTTTTCCACAAAAAGCAACCTAAAACAAATACAAAGTTAGAATAACAACATTTTGAAAGTTTTCGTCTTCTTGACTCACTCCATTTTTATGATTCTTTATTGTATTGAGAGAGTTTATATTTTTGTGAGTGAGAAAATAAACACGAGGTTGGTATTGGGAGAACTAAAAAGTATGAAAAATATGATGGGTCTTGTGGTTTCCGAATCGTTTTTACAATTCCGCAAACTGGAGATGGATTTTATGAGCTTTTGCGGAAAAAAAGTTATGCATTCAAAAATTTTTGACAGGCTATGGCACAGAGGGGAACATGTGTCAAAAATTTAGCGGGATTATACAGAGAAGTTATTCAAAATTTTGGAGGAAAATTCGGAAATGTTGTGAACTAATTAATACAAATTTAAATGAGGCGGATTCAAAGTGACAGGCTTGGAAAAACGAGAAACCGAAACCGTGGAAAACTGAGTAAATTATCTGATTGACATGTTCATTTTCACACACATACAGTCCTGATCCATCGACTCGATTTCGAGACAAAAAACTAAATCCAGAGAAAAATAGTGTCGTAGGAGAAGAGACACAAAGATATAGCCAAGCGGAAACCGTATACAGAAAAAAAGCGGTATGGAGACGCCGCGCAAGATATATATTTATATGTTGTGGAGGTGGGAAAGAATTTGGGAACACATCAACAAAAACTTTGTTCTTTTCTTCTGTTGATTTGAATGTTTTAAATGAGTTGGATGATTTTGAATAAAGATTATTTTGAAGCCGCTTTAGAATCTTAAATCATTCAATTTCAGAATCTGAGATTATAAGAATTTAGAATACTTAGAATTTGGTTTTCTCATAATCAAAGCATCATTATTGGAAAATCTTAAACCTGATGACTTTCCAAATTTTCGAATTTCCCACTTTCAAATTTTCAAACTTCCAGTCTGAGAATTTCAGGAAATGGGGATTTGAGATTTTTTCAAAATTTTCAGAAAATGGGAATTTAGGAATTCCCGACATTCGGAAATTCAGAAATTCAGAAATTCAGAAATTCAGAAATTCAGAAATTCAGAAATTCAGAAATTCAGAAATTCAGAAATTCAGAAATTCAGAAATTCAGAAATTCAGAAATTCAGAAATTCAGAAATTCAGAAATTCAGAAATTCAGAAATTCAGAAATTCAGAAATTCAGAAATTCAGAAATTCAGAAATTCAGAAATTCAGAAATTCAGAAATTCAGAAATTCAGAAATTCAGAAATTCAGAAATTCAGAAATTCAGAAATTCAGAAATTCAGAAATTCAGAAATTCAGAAATTCAGAAATTCAGAAATTCAGAAATTCAGAAATTCAGAAATTCGGAAATTCAGAAATTCGGAAATTCAGAAATTCAGAAGGTTAGAAATTTAGAAGGTTAGAAAGTTAGAAATTTAGAAATTTAGAAATTTAGAAATTTAGAAATTTAGAAATTTAGAAATTTAGAAATTTAGAAATTTAGAAATTTAGAAATTTAGAAATTTAGAAATTTAGAAATTTAGAAATTTAGAAATTTAGAAATTTAGAAATTTAGAAATTTAGAAATTTAGAAATTTAGAAATTTAGAAATTTAGAAATTCAGATTTTCATTTTAAAAATCATTTTTAAAAAATCAAAAGGAGAATATTAGAATTTGTCATATTTTCTTCTTAAAACCGATTCGTTTTTGCAAGAACAGTATGAGTCAAAACGTGAGCATGAGCGCACCCATTGACTGCATCGCCTGTTTTGTCAACTTTTCGGCTTTATTAGTCATTTCGGACGATCTCTCTCGACCAAGAGATGACCCAAAACTCTAAGACTAACGTCTACTAAAATATTTCACCGGAACTGAAGAATGATTTGGAATAAGCAGAAGGAGAAGTCGAAAAAGAAAGGTGGGGTGTTTCTGAGTCACACAAAAATATGGAATAAGAATGAAAAAGGAGTATGGGGAGTGGCGGGGTTTTTGTTGACTCAGAAGATGGAAGAGAAGGGGGTGAAATTTGTTGTTTGGGTGATGAAAGAGAAACATTTTTGGAGAGCGAAAGTTATGGGGTGTTCCTCTTATCAAAAGCTTATTTTGACGTTAACATGTTTGGTCATTCATTCGGACTCTTTGTGATAAGAACATGTGTTCTTTATACTCTGTTTGAGAGTTACTTTGGTTTATATGGCATTCAGATTAAACAGTCTCATGATTTCCGTGTTGAAAAGGAAGGAACACGAACTTTTCAATGTATTCTAGCTTTTAATGTGTTTCAAAATCAAAAGGGAGTTTTTATCAAACGTATGTGACTAAGCTAGAGATCAAGCCTGGCAGCCAAAAGAAAAAATTTAAATTTGGTTGGAACTGAAAAAAAAACAGATTAATAAGGTGGGACGACATAAAAAGTTCGTTTTAAAAATTTCTGAACAAAAATGGTAAAAAAAAGTTTTTGAAAAAAATATTTTTATTGAAATTTTCAGATGAAGCAGCTAAGTTCCAAATAATTTTTTGAACAGTCTAACAAGGGAAGTGTTTTCAGAGGGGCGTTGAGAATTTTCTAAAAATTTCAGTACTGATAGTTTGAGATATCCGCAACACGATGACGAAAAAATCTAGGTCATAACCCACCAGGAAGCTGAAAATCTTCGTCTGAAATTTTTCGGTCGATTTCGCCCTCTCCTTCTCTTCACTACGCACTACGTTGAACTGAAGTGAACCTTTCACTACGTTGTAAGGTTCACTGTTTTTCACTGATATCCTTGTAGTTTGATACCGTGAAACCTGCAATAGGAATCCCCCCCCCCCCCCAAAAGCAATAGCCCCCAAAATGTCACATTTCGGCTAATTTTTCTGGCTTTTATGCGAGATGTCGAAAATTTGTCAACTGATAAAATGTTTTCGACGTTACAATGAACAATTTATCAGTTTAAAACTTTTTTGTATCTTTGACAGGAACCGAGAAAAATCGGTTCAAAGATAAAAGTTAGGGCCCCTCCGGGTGAGCAATTTTAAACTTTGGGGACTTTTAAATTTATGAACCTTTGAGCCAAGTAAGATCCTTTCCAAAACCACAGGACCATTCTCCAAAACTTCCAAATTGTATATTCACGATTGCCACAAAAACCGACCAAAGACGTATGTAAATAGTGTGGTAGAAAAAAAGTATTCAAAACTCGAATCATGTGTATATATCTATTCATATTTTATTTGTGGAAAAATATATAAAAGAGAATAGTGAGAATATTAAAAGTTTTTATGCACTTTATGTGAAAAAAAGAGGACAGAGTTTTCGATGAAAACGATAAATGGCGAGGGGATCGCTCCTATCTTTTGTTCCACAGGTTTACTTATTGATAGGCTTCAAGTCCTCCTTCTTAAAAAACATTTATGTTATTGGAATAGCATAAGAGAAATAGCGCATTATAATGAAACAAGAAACAAAAGGAAAAACAAAGAAAACCGTAGCAGAATTACAAGAAGACATATCAACAGATTATTGGGAATTCTCCTTCAATTAATAATAGAACACAATTTACGAACTCCCGAAGATCAGATTGAGTTCCTCATCCAAATCAATTTCTCTCTCCAGCGTGAAGTCTGAAAAAGTAGTAAACTTGATTCGAATCTATGAAACTCACCGATTGGAAATCTCGCAAACACTGGATGTTCCTTAAACATATAGAGCCCTTAAACAAGTTCTCACTTGTCAAGTTCAGTCCTCACTTTATCAGTTTTTATTTCGCTAGTTCTCATGCAAATGAGTTATTTTCGTACCAGTTCTCATACGTTCAGTTCTTTGCAGTTTTAATTCTCCGAGTTCTCATCCTTAGTACCACCGCTACATCTAAAACTATTCTTCAAAATCTGATGTTTCTTTCCTAAAGTCCAGCCCCACACCCAATTCTAGATCCATCACAGTTGCCCCATCCGATATAAAACAACACTATCATTGCCCTCCATTGTAAATCGACCATCTCTCCAAATAATTTTCCCACAACTAGAAAGACTACCTTCAGTTATACAGTGCGCATACACACAATTTTATTGCACATAGTCACGTTACTCCTTCACCTCGTCACAACGTTCAGAGGATATGCGACGTTCTTCTTCCCAGAAGATCAAAATTCAGAAACCAGGTGTGCTGCGAGACTCAACGTTCGATCCGCCCCCAACAACCCATCCTAACGTCTTCTTTCATTTCCAATCACTTCATTCATAAATCCCATCGCTCTTCCTCCCATCAATTGCAACAGTATGTTGGACTTCGATTGTTCAAAAGTCATACTAAAAGACTCAATCGGGTCAACATACACACTTCCTATACGGAATTCATCATCCCTGTTTGTTTCTTTACTTATTAAGTCAAGTCACCCAGATGTGTTCAGCGTGTGTGATCAGAGTAAGTTGTTTATAAAAGAATGAAACAGTTTCAATAAAGAGTTTCAATAAAGAATGAAACAATATAAGTTTTCAGGTATTCTAACTAAATGTCTCAGTTCTCAAGAAGGATTCGACGTCGTCATTAAAACCATCGGATATCCAATGAGTCCATACGGCAACTACTTTGTCACCGTTGACACTGGCACCGAAATCAAAACGATCCCTGTGGAATTCAAAACAGACTATGAAAGGTAATGTTTAGTCTTACAGTTACTTTCGGTCCTAGTCATTAGTAATGAAACAAATTGCGTTTCATGGGGGGTGTTATTTACATCGTTCAAATTTTGAGACAATAGTTTTCTAAGGATATCAACAAATAAGCTGAAATTAAAAAAAAACATATTGAGGCGCATTGGACAGATCTATAACAAGCATTAGTTTCAGATGTAAATCACCAGAGCTTCCTTTAAGTGCAATCATCGAGTGTCAGATTTGTTACGCATCATTCGATAATAAAGCAAGAGTTCCAAGAGTTATTAAGGAGTGTGGACATACCTTGTGCCAACGTTGTTGCCAACATTTGATGATTCCAAACAAAAATCAGTTCATAATTTGTCCAGTGGATAGAACGTCAACAGCGGTCTATGGTAAGTTTTGGTGGTTTGAAGTTGGGCTCAATCTTCAATTATTTCAGGAAATATTAATAGTCTTCCAAAGAACTTCGCTTTAATTCAACTAATCAACGAGTCGCAAGTCTACAAAACAAAATCAACTGGTCCTTATTTCTGCAGCACTCACAAAGACCAGAGACTGTTCTTCGTGTGTACCGAATCTGATTGCTCTTCTGAACAAAGGTCAATGTGCAGCGAGTGTATGGTCGAAGGCGGTCCCCACGAAGGCCACTCCTACACCTCATCCAAAAAGATGTTTTAAAACAAAAAGAAATTCTATATGGGATCTCAATGCTAATTGACTGAAAACGCGTTTTCTACTTCTACTTTCTACTGCTCTTGTCTGATTCTACTTGTAATTCTGTTACTTTTCTTATCTTCCATTCCTTCTTGTTCCGTTTTCATGTGTCTGTCATTTTTTGATTTTCAAATAATAAAAACTTTTTAAAATGTAGAAAGCCTTAAGGATGTAATTTATTTTTAAAGAATGGGATTGAAAAAGATCGAAAAAAGATTGTTTTGAAGGAATGGAGCAAGAATAGAAAAGAGTGATTAATTTTTGAAAATATATTGAAATTTTGAATTTTCTTTATTCATTACGGGAAAAGTTTTAGTATTTAAACTCGTTTGAGCTTGATAGCTTAATTTGAGCTTGATAGCTCAAACTTTTGTTTCGAAGCTCCATCTTTGAAGCTTCATCTTTGAATATTAATTTCTAGTTGTCCATCGGAAGCCTAATATTTAAAGCTTATGTATAGCTCAATTTTAAAACAGCTCACTTTTCAAGCTTAAATTTCGCAATTCAATTTTTGCAGCTACATTTCAGAGCTTCATTTTCAGCTTAATCGTTAAGTCGAATTAAAAAAATTGGGACCTGGAAAATTTCGCGGGCAATTTTCGAGGTCTTGCCTCAAAATCACTACAGTAGTAAACGAAACTTATTTCTGTGAATTCAGTGGGATTTTCTGGAAAAAATTTAGATATTGGTATGAAAATGATCGCTAGCATCTCTAGAATCTGTTTTTCATCGAAAATCCGAACTTAATTTCGAAAGTAGCTCGAACGAGGCAAAAGTCTGAAATATTACATTTTTCCGCACTTTTTCGAAGATCAAAAAAGCTACGCCTTTCGAATTCTCAGGTCCCACTTTTTTAAATTCGACAATAATTTTCAGATCTCCATTTTGAGCTAAGTTTTTTCAAAATAAGTATCAAAATATTAATTCTGAATTCTCATTTTTTAAGCTTCACATTTGTTTTCAGAGCTCTATTTTAAGCTTCGTTGTTAAACTCAGTTTCTCAGCTGAATTTTTTAAATTGAAGCTTCAGAGCTCTGTTTTCAAGTTGTTTCAATTTTCAATTTTTAGAGCCTTTCATGTCAATTTCAAGGCTTCATTTTGAAGCTCTAGATCATATATGTTCGAAGTTTAATTTTTAAAATGTTTATTTTTAGATCTCCTCTTCAACTTTTGAAGCAATAATCCCGGCCAGTTCCGGCTGAAATCCTGGAAAATTCATCCAAAAAACAGTAGGTTTTTCGAGAAAAACAATTCATTTTTTCGAACGTTGTGTGGAAAAAATCGCGAATATAGGAAGGAAAAATTAAGACAATTGATGGAAATACATGTAAATTTGAAGTTATTGTTTTCGGGAAAATGTTGTGAGGGGTGATGACACGTTTTGGGTTATGACAAAGAGTTAGAATGACACGAATTGAAGGAATGACACATATACAGAAAAAAGGGGAAAATAAGATAAGAAATTAAGACGAAACGGGATTATTGAATTTATTAGTGAAAAAAATAATATTGATCTAAATAAAGCTAAATAAGTGAGAAAAAGAGTATACGATTTAAACTAGAAGTTTCGATAAATAGAAAAAAATAGTTAGAGCAAAATATTACATACAGGTACATATACTGAAATTTGATAGTTTAATGAAATTATAATTGAATTTTTTAATTGAAACTGATATAAAAACTAATTTAGAATATTAAAGTTATTTAAAAAATTTAAAGCACTAAGTTTGAGCTGACATTACACGCGAAAAAGATTTCTAGACGTTGATACCGAAAGCTGAACAGATCAAGGATGAGTAAAGGTACCAGTGAAGAAGAGGAAAAATGAACCAGGGATTAGAGAAACTGAGACTAGTGAGACAAGGAAAAAATCCGGATAATATATGTCCTACCGGAATAATTATTTTTATTAACCGGAAAGAATAAAAAAACCCGAGGAAAGTGAATTTCATTAATTCACTGGATCCAATTCCAGCTATACATTTTTATTCTCACATCTCGAAGTCATCCATATCCTCATCTTCATCTTCTTCTCCTCCTGGATTTGGACGTATTCCGGACATATCCACCGCTTTATTCTCAGCTATCCTTCTCCGTTTGACTTGATTGTCGTAGAAGACTCTGACCTAGAAAAATATTCAGTTGAACTTGAAGTGTTCGAATAGAAACTCACTCTTCCCTCATCCCGATTCAATTCTTCGGCTATTTTCTTAATTTGTTCAGGAGTTTTGTAGGTTCCTCTTACCCAATGACGTTTCAGAGTTTTCTGAAAAAAAGTTTTTAGGAACACCCTGGGGTGTTTGAATGATGACTCACTTTTTCAATAGGATTCCAGCTGAATCGGCTTCTTTTCTTAGGACTCTTCTTTCCTACACCATAGCCAACGTTCTGAAAACTTTAAGATATAAGAAACATGGGGAGAATATATAGTTACCGCTGTTTTGAAGTAGGTTGATTGTTCGTAGTGATGTCCGCGTGGGTAAAATTGACGATTGGCGTTTCCGGGATGAACAACAGGGGCCTGAAAATAGGTAATGTTCAATTGGTGTGATAGACAAGTTTGGTTGGTGAAGTTATGTGGGATTTTCTGGTACTTGAGGAAACATTGATAAAAATTAGAGCTCACTTTTGCAGTTGGATATTTTCTGAACTTTAATGATAAAAACACTCTAATATCATAGAAGGTCATCTTATACTTGCCCTTTGAGCTCAATTATCTCAATTTCTATAAGAGATAAGTAAAATCTGTCAATTAATGAAAGGTTTGTCATATTATCACCAACATTTTATCTATTTGAACATTTTCATAACTCTTATAGAAATTGAGATAATTGAGCTCAAAGTGTACGTAAAGAGTGGGCTTCTACTAGAGCAAATACGGTTTATTTACTGTAGAATTAGTATCTCTATAAATAGCAAAAGTCTGTTAACTGATAAAATGTTTTTCAGAGACTCACCACAGTCGCTTGATCCGATCTACGAGACATTACTCTTTGTTCAGTCATATTTGGTCGAACATTTCCCAATGAATGTCTGTGTTGTTGCCTGAAAATAGTTTCTCTACATTTTCCCAAATTTTCAAATAAACCCACTTTCTAAATTCTTCTCTTCCTCTGACTTCATCCTCAAGAGTCCACTCCCTTTCTCCAGAACCATGATCTTCGGTTTCGATACGCGCTCTTTTGGCTGCCGGCTCACCACTGTTGGAATCTGAGGTTGTCGAATTTTGTGGATCTCTTATAGCGAGTTCGTCCTGGGTTGGCTTACGATCAACTGGTTCCCCTGGCGAGGTGTCGTGGCCGACTTCTCCTGGTGTCACTTCATCATCATCACTGAGTGTTATGCACTCGATCACAGTCTTCTGCTTATCCTTTTCATTCGTTGCTTCTGAAGACTTTTCAGAATCAGCTACTCGTTCAGGCTCTGAACGGTTTGGTGGTTCGCTTGGCTCATCATGTCTTTGAGAAGCGTCGGATGTGCGAAGATTGGACGGAGCGGATCCTCTAAGTGGAACTGGTGACTTCACAACCAAATATGGATGTCGAACAGTTGATCGAACTGCCAGTTTAGCAGAGCTCTCATCAGGTTGCTCCACACTTTTCGATGCAGAAGCGTTTTGGTCATCTGTTTTCCCTATTTGATGTTGGTTCTCTCTGTGAGCAGATTCCGGACTGCCAATTTCTTCAGCGGGAGGTACTATTCCTTTCGCAATCTGATGCTCCCGAACCATTTGCTCATATTCTTTCTTCTTCCGAAGATATCGTTGGAAATGGTACCGATTTATATATTCTTCATATTCGGGTGTTATATGAACTTGTCCTGAGAACTGTGGTGGCATTGGTCCGGCGAACTGTGGATGAACTGGAAGTCCGTTAGGTCCAATCATGGTTGGAGGATAACCCGGAAAGTGTGCTGATCTTCGGAAATGTTGATGATGACCTGGAGGATGACCTTGTGGATGTTTTGGGTCTGGTGGTCTTTGAAGCATCTTCATTGGATATTGCATCATTCTGGGATCTCCATGCTGTGCGACTCTCATCATGTGTTGGTGTTGTAATGCGAGCAATTCTTCTTGGGAAACTGGCTTTCCATTCGGAAAAACCATCATTTGAAAACCATGAGGCGCACCATGAAGAGCTTGCATTTTTCGAGCCGTAATTTTTAGATGGAGTTGTTGAAGCTGTTGAGGTGTCAATCGGTGTGGTGGAATTCTAGATCGATCCAAAGGTCCTGAATCTCCACCTAGTGCTTCATTTCCAATCGTTCTTCTTTTCCTATGCATCCTCTCGCGAATTGCTGCTGAATCTTCTACGGGTGAATCTGTTCCGATATCCACAGAAGAGGTTTCATTACGTCGGGGAGGCGTGCTAGGAACCTTTTGGCCAGGTGGCAAATGCTTCGGGTCCACCCTCACATACGGATAAATCTGGGGCGGCACCGGAGGCTGTTTTCTAGGAGCAGATGTCCCGGGTGGATTAGCTGTATCCGCTCCTCGGGTTGTTTGAGCTTTTTCGGAAGAAGTAGCAGACTGGGACCCTTGTGGTCGAGCAACAGGCGTCGTGAAATCGTTTGATGCTCTTGGTGCAGGTAGAGAAAGAGGAGAAGGGTACTCGGTAGATGTCTTTGATATTGGAATTGCACCTGATTCAGTCGATTTATCAGTAGAATGTCTAGCACGTAACGCTTCTAGCTCTTCTTCGGTCACTGGATCATTTGGTATTCCTGGAACCGGAGACCGACCGTCTTGGAAAATACTCCTGTTAACTTGAGATGGCCGTTGTGGCGTCACTTTTCGGGGCTTATCATGGGGTGTCAAATGAGGCATCCTATCAGGAGTTTTCTCTTTCTTAGAGTCATCAAACGGAGGCTCAGGATAATCATACTCATTCAGTCGACGGGCAGTACCATCTGCCATTCCTTTTTGAACAACTGCAGCTATATCTTGCATAACCTCAGGTGGTGGTAACATCGGCGCAACAATCGGTGGAGGTGTTTTGAGAACATTGTCCAATATGGAAAGCGCTTGGTATTTCATGAGTGGTTTGGAACGTTGTGGAGTTTGCATCATTGGAATTGACTGTTCATTATCTGTCATGTTTGACTTTTTCTTCTCATTTGGATCGATGACTTTCGAAGATTGGGACCTTGTCCTGTTGTCAGAATCCGTTTCTTCATTCTCGTGAACCTCCATGGGTCGTTCAGCTGCAGTTTGACTTACTTGAATCATCGTTGTTTCAGGGGATCTACCGAAAATCCGCTCATCAATTCGGCACGTCCCAATTGGTCCGCTAATCTCTTCAACTGTCATCTTGTTGTAACTCATGAACATGTTTTCCTCAATTTCCTTTTCCGTGATGCTTCTTGAATACTCTTCTTGATCGGGGCCGAAGGTCGGTGATTTTGGTACGAAGCCTTCGGAGAATGCTGATTTTGGGGATATACTACTGTAGCGGGTTCCAGAGTCTGGCAGAGAACGAGTTTTCCCCGTCTTTTCATCTGGACTACCTTCCACTATCGAAGGACTCTTCCAATTCGGTTGCTGACGTTTTTCGGGAGATACGACAGAACTCGAAGGAAGCATAAGATCTTCGGCGGCATCCAAGTCTATTGGGTTGTCTTCTGAACGTTGAAAAATCGAGGATGGCACATTTTTGGTTTCGGGATTGAAATTAGCAGCAATCGAAGCGATTCGAAAAGATTGTTGCTCGCTAACCCATGTTTCGGTGGCTACTGTAGCTTCAATGCTCCCAGTTTTTTTAGAATAAGCGTTCACGGAGGTTTTGACGTCTTCAGGTTTCTCAATTTTACACCAAGCATTGCAAAGAACGTTTTCCATCTTTCCGGTTTGCACATCAAGACTCGATAGTTTGATCTTTTTTATCTCATATCTATGTTTTTCTTGATTTTTCGTAGTGATGTCGATTCCTACGACTTCTTTCAGGCCAATTTGTAGCAATGCTTTACTAGGACCAACGCATGCTCTTGAGATTCCCATCTCTTTCTGAAAATTAAGCAAATGTTTGAATAAGTGAATAATTTTCAAAACTTACACATGAGACCAAAAGCTTTTTGATTTTTTCGATGCCAATTGAATGATCTATCTGGACTTCCATCACTCCTGAAAAAATAGTTTGTGATAAGAAGAAATGTTTTGAAAAGAAGTTGTAGTTAGGTTTTTTGAATTCATAGAATTGAAAAATACACAAAACAACAAAGACCTAGAAAACTGAAAGTATTATATTAGTTTTGCAAAAACGGGTTAAAATCAATAAATGAGCATCTTTTATTTCATTTTGCACGAGTTTTTGATCTCCCATAAATTTGATCTCCCATAAAAATCTTTGGCTTGTCAAGCGTGAAGCACGAATTTTTTGAAATCTAATGTTTTCGAGATTAAAAGTTATTTTTTGAAATTTAACTACAGTACCGGTCAATAAGATATCAAAAAACGTATTTCTTCAGTGGATTATCGGCCATTTTGACTGTTTTCAAGAGCCCGGAGCTCGGCTATCAAGTGACCGATCAATTTGAAAATATTCGAGGTTATGAAAAAACCCCAGATTGGAAACTTTGCATTTCCAGAATTTTTTGGAAATTCCTAGTTTTTCAGTTATTTGTCGACTTTTGAAAGACACCCCTTTTTCCAGATTTTGTACTGAAAGCGGTAAAAAAGCAGGTTTCCTACAGAAATAGCAAATAGCTGAAAAACTAGAAATTTTCAAAAAGTTGTGTAAATGCAAAGTTTCCAATCTAGGTCTGTTTCACACACTCGAAAATTTTCTCAGTCTGATACTTTGACAGCCGAGCTCCAGACTTCTGAAAATGGCCAAGATCAACTGAAAAATATGTTTTTGTATATCTTAATGCCCTGAACGGTAGATTGGATATTCTGGATAAAAATCCCTATACATTTTTTGCTCAATCGATTTATTAAACTACCAGCCGTTCGGCCGAAGCAAGGTCCAGTTGACACAATTCAGAAATATAAGATTTCTTGAATACTCGAATTTGAGACGAAAATACGAGCTTTTTGTCGGTGCAGATTAGGACAACTAAAAAAGGAATGAAGGCGATTGGGATTAGGACATCCCATGGGTGTCCTATATCAATCAAACGATCTAAGTTCGAGAAGGTTCTGGAAAACATGCGAAAAGCATACTTGTAAAATTCCGGGCCGGCCCGCCAAAGCCCGGGCCTGAGGAAATTTTCAAGGCACGGGCCCGGCCCGGAAGGCCCGGTAGCAAAAATTTTGTCATTTTGAGCCAAATTTTGAGCTCTCTATACAATTTTCTCCATTATTTTGTGTGTTTTTGGATTGTTTGACTGTTTGATCAAAAAAATATCAAAAAAAAACTCGAAAAAAATCACATAAGGGTCCCCCCTTATTTTTTTTTTAAATTTTCAAAACTTGTGGAATGACAAGCCCGCCGGGATAATGCTTTCNATTTGGCGGGACAGTGCTGGAGTGATTTACCGCGAGCTCCTTCCGGACTCCACTACTATTAACTCTAATGTCTACTGTTCTCAAATGGATAATGTACTTCATGCTTACCGCTCTCACCGCCCGAGAAGCTCGAAGATTATACTTTTGCACGACAACGCCAAACCACACACATATTTGAAGACCCGCAGTAAGCTCCAGTCCCTCGGAATTGAAGTTCCTACTCATCCACCGTATTCCCCGGACCTGGCACCCACTGATTATCACCTTTTCCG